TTCCCTGTATTTACAGCAAGGAGCACTGATGATGATTCATTCGGAATCGAAATATGGCCTTATTTGCAGCATGAATTCGAAAAATAATTTTATTTTCAATTTTAATAAACTAAACGTTCACCAAAAAACTTTAGTGAGAAAAATCGAAAAAACGAACTACAAACATATTAACGCCAAACATTCGGTAGAATTTATAGAATATTATACATATATATATATTTATAAAACAAATTTGATTAAATGATTTTGCCCATTTAGCGGTTATCAATTTCTTGAAAAGACATTCAACAACACGGGACTGTATATTAATATGTAATAATACAAAAAAATATATATTCATTTTTTTATTATTTTCAGAATTAGAATAGAATATAATATACGATATAATATATTATTTTCATTTTTTTTTATAATTCTCAGAAGTCAAATTGTAAAATAATTGAATTATTGAATTAAAGAGCAATAAATCAAAAGACCAACAGTTGAAGAATGAAGTTGATCAACATGTTTGATTGGATGAAGTCTCTTCAACAACATGTTTTCAACCCTTACAAACATCATCATCGTCGTCGTCATCATCATCAGCAGCAGCAACAAAAACATCAAAAAAGACAACCACTTCTTAAGCATCACAAACAAATGAAACCGACACAATTCATAAAACAAAAACATCGGCTTTCCCAACAACAATTTCCTCAACAACAACCGCGTCATTGTGAACAAAAACAGCTCCAGTTACAGAAAAAGCATCAACATCAACAACGAAAACAACAACATCAACAACAACATCAACAACATTTTGATCATGGCACGCAACAAAACCCAACCCTTCCAAACTACCTCTCCCACTATAACGTCATCCTACCGATCATAGCAGCAATCGTCTGCTACTACAAAACCGTTTGGGGCCAATTTGTGTATGATGACGTCAGAGCAGTCGTGAACAATAGGGATGTGTCAAACCCAATGTCTTTCCTGGATTTGTTCCATCATGATTTCTGGGGCATGGATGTGGCGAGCGATGCAAGTCATAAGTCCTACAGACCTCTCACTGTTCTTACTTTTAGGTGAGGTTCAGTTGGTTGGTTGGTTGATTGGTTGGTTGGTTGGTTGAATGGCCGGTTGGCTGGTTAGTTGGTTGAATGGCCGGTTGGCTGGTTAATTGGTTTTTCCGTTTGGTTGGCTGGTTGTTTTGTTTCGTTTTCAACTAACAAGATGGTTGAAATATTATTAAGTATTTAATGGCTTAAAATTTTTTAACAGTACCACAAATCACCACTTGTAATATTTTGTAACTTATTAGATAGTAAAATTATTGAGTTGATAAACTGATAGTAAAATTATTGAGTTGATAAACGAACAAACTTTTGCTCGATTGTTTTATCTTAATGATGATATTGATAATGATGTTGATGATGATGTTTAATATGATGATGATGATGAAGAAGATGATGATGATGATGCTAATAACGGTAATGATGATGACGGTTACGAAAGTACAGATGGACACGTAGTAGAAAGAATCTTTTTGTTAATGAGCTTGCTTTATTTGAAGCAGTTGCTTGCATGTTTGTATAGTGACTGGTTGTTTCTTGTTTGTTTGTTTGTTTGTTTGTCTGTTCGTTTGTTCGTTCGTTCGTTTGTTTGCTTGTTTATCTGTTTGTTTGCCTGTTTATACTTCATGTTCATCTGCCTACATTAGTTATTTTTGTATTTTTGTTTTCTCATATGTGTTCATTTGTTTTTCATGTTTGTTTGAATGTTAGTTTCTTTGAACGTTGTTCGTTTGTTTGTCTGACTGTCTGCTTGTTTGTGTGTTTGTTTTTTGATTGTTGTCCGTCTGTCTTTCTGTTTGTTTGTTTGTTTGTATGTCTGTTTGTAAGACGGCTTTTGTTTACTTTTTGTTTTTTAAGACTCGTTATAAAAAAATACACAACTTATGATGCAGAAACAGCAACAATAATGCCATGCTGATTTCATTGGTAAAAAATCAGACGGTCAACATTAGCAACCACAACAACAATCGTTTCAGCAGCAAATTAAACAAAAGTAGTATCAATGTTACAACTAGAGCCCTGCGCGGTTTGCGGTTGTCGCGGTTTAAACTGCAAAAACCGCACCGCAACCGCGGTTTAAACCGCAAAAACCGCACCGCAACCGCGGTTTTTTGCGGTTATTTTGAAAATTCCAACCGCGCAAGGCTCTAGTTACAACGTATCAAAACAATTATGCATATTAAAGATGGTTAAGAACTGCAAACAACAACGACAACAACATTTGTAACAAAAATAAACAACAGCAGCAGCAAGTAGCAACATGATGACCTCCACAAGTTGTAACTGTTGAACCACGGAGACACAAACAACTCAGATAAACAGCTCATCACCAAACAGCATGAACATTGAGAACACAAACAACATGACATGAACATGAAGAACGAGAACGTGAACAACGAGAACGTGAACGTGAACAACGAGAACATGAACATCATGAAGAAAAAAAATATGAACACGATCTGTTCCTAAGAGATACAGCGGTTGTTATGAAATTCAATAAAGGCCCATTTACATTATTACTTCTTACGCTTTCTTGCTTTTGCTAGAGAAGCATTGTTGATTTCTCGTTGCTAATGTTGATGTAATGCTGCTGATGCGTCCATAATAAACCTACTAATATTATTGTTGTTGTTGCTGCTGCTAATACTGTGAAGGATGATGTGATGTTGTTGTTGTTGTTGGGAATGAAGTTGGGAATGATGTTGCGAATGATGTTGTTGTTGTTGATGTTGTCGGTGATAAAGTTGTTATTTATGTTGTGTTGTTGATGCTGTGGTTGACGATGTTGCTGATGGCGTTGGTGGTGACGTTGTTGATGTTGTTGCTGATGGTGTTGTGCGTGTGAGATCACGACTTCGGTGAGATTGGGGTTTTAGTTGTTGTTCACGTTGTTATTAAGTTGTTGTTAATGTTTTTATTTAAGTTGTTGACATTGTTACTTAGGTTGTTGATGTTGTTTTTTGTTGATGTAATGTCGTTGATGTCGTGATGTTGCCGCTATTTGTGAAGCCGTTTTCTAAAAATATTATTGTCGGGAGTTCAGCAGATGCATGAAATAATGGTGATGCCTGTGTAATGCGAAGCAAAATAAGAAGATGACGTTGAATATGTTTGTTGATGTTAAGACATTGTTGTTGATGTTGCGGTGATGATGTGATGTAAGAAGGCTGTGTTGATGTTACTGTGATCTTGAATGATGTCAATAGTATGATAATAACGTTCTGCTGCTGTTATGACAACGCTGTGAAGATGTTTTGAATTGTGGACGGCACTATGCACTTTGATAATGATTACGTGATAATGATAATGTGATGATATGTGTGGCAGTCAATGTGTGTGTGTGTGTGTGTGTGTGTGTGTGTGCTGACGGCATTGTTATCTGCGTTGATTTGTGTGGTGATGCCTTGCTGAGCTCAATTGTTTTATTGCAGTTGAATAAATCAAACTTAAGCTTAGTTAAACTCAGAAATCATCGTTATTAACCGTAACTGCGTCGTTGTATGAGTACTTGGGTTCTAATATATGCCTGCCTGCATACATGGCGTGATTTGTTTGTTTGCGTTCGCGTTAGCTGTTTGTTAGTTTGCTCTTTGTTTATGGGTTATGTGTTGGTTACGTATTGGTTATATGTCATTCGTGTGTTGTTTATGTGTCGGTTATCTTTTGTTTAGTTGCATTTTTTCTTATTCATCTTTGGCTTATTGGGCGTTCATATTTTGTTTATTGTTATCATTTATATGTTAGTTTGTTTGTGTCTATGTATGTATGCATGTATGCATGCATGCATGTATGTATGTATTTATGCATGTATGTATGCATGTATGTATGTATGTATGTATGTATGTATGTATGTATGTATGTATGTATGTATGTATGTATGTATGTGTGTATGTATGTATGTATGTATGTATGTATGTATGTATGTATGTATGTATGTATGTATGTATGTATGTATGTATGTATGTTTGTTTGTTTTTTGTTGATGATTTTGTTATTTTAGCGCAACAAACAGCAACAACAACAAAACCTCAATGTTTTGCAGGCGTGCATGTAAAAACTTGTAAGTTGAGGACGATGGTTGCTGTGTTTGTATGTTTGAAGTACCATACAATTAGCGGTCGTCACGAAGAGATGTGGATATGTTTTTTGCCGTTGTTGTTGGATGAATTACTTGCAATGTTTATAATAATTTATGACGTAATTTTTATGTAATAATTTTGTTAATTTTATTAATTATTAGCGATAATATGGTTTTCAATTGAATGAATAAAGTTGGGTAGAAGTCAGTCACATTTTCATTTTATTAATTTATTTTTATTATCATGTTTTTGTTTATATCATGTTGTTTGTCTGAAAATTTGTTGTTTATGTTGTTGTTTAAGTGGTTGTTTTGTGTTGTTGTTTTTTTGCTGTTTACGTTGTGGCTGTTTGTGTTGTTTTAAGTTTTTATACTCCTTTGTTATGTTATTATTGTTCATGTTCGTGTTGTTGTTTGTTTACCTCGTGGTTGTTTATGCTGTTTGGGTTGTGTTTGTATTGTTGAATACGGTGATGGTTACCTCTTTGCTTGTGATGTTGTTTATGAGATGTTGTTGTCTAGGTTGTTATTGTTGTCGATGTTGTTGTTTATGCTGTTGTTAAAATTTATCTTTCCTAGGGCAAAACCTATTTAATTTTTTTTTTTGAAGAACATTAGAAAGAAATGCCCAGCAGATCTGAAACGATTCAGTAGGCAGTCGAAGATTTATTCCATTGGAGTTACCGACTTATTTATAACATATTTAAACGCACTAATATATCTTTTTTTTTTAAATTTAATGAGATAAAATGAATATAAAAATGTCGAAAAAGAATTTGCGAAAACAAAAGCAGCGAAAAATTTTTATTTTTATATCATTTTATTACATTTTTTCAAAAAAAATTTCTTTTTCACTTAGTTCTTAT